TACACGAGTTTAACAGTACATTATAATTAGAATATTTTCTGATCTAGAACTGAACTAAAAGTGAAACATATCTATGCTCTAATCAAAGTTACCAGACTCCATTTGGAACAATATAGATAAGTTCAGTTCCCCGTATGAAAGGGCTGTCTGACCGCAAGATACAGCGGTGAAAATATTCTAAATATAGAGTATACTGAAACTGATATTCATTTTTAACGTGGGTCTTTCTTTAAGGTGTCTAAAATACGTTTTGCTGCTGCCCCCGTCCACAGCAGTACATTGCTTTGCTCTCCAGTCTGCTTCTCCAAACTGGGGGCGTGTGGACCATCGCCTACTGTCGGTAACCCACTGACTATAAGAGCCTCATACAACACTTAAACTATCCCTTCAAGGAGAGGTTCCCAATCCGGGGTTCAGGAGCCTCACAAAGGGTCGCGAAAAAATGAAGGGTCAAATGTTAGCATGTTAAAAAAACATACCTGCTAATCATCAGCATGTTAGCATTGTAATTTTGAGGCATTGTAATATTCGCACGTGACTTCAGTTTGCTAGTTTGGCCATAGTCTTGTTTCTGTGTGTGTATATGAACTACTGGATCATTTCGGTAAACATATGCAACTAATGATGCTAATGATTTGCGGTCCAAGATGGTTAATGCTCGACGCAGGGAAAGCTCGTACTAGAGGAACAATTCAAATGTTCCTCCCTAAAACTAAATGCTTTAGCAGCGTTCTTGTACCCTTCTGTCTTAATTGGACCCCGGCAACTAATACCATCCGCCACCCCCCACTTACCGAAAGGGCAAACACCCCCAGGAGGATCATACAGCCCATCATGACTGAGAGGAGCTCATGATGTTGATGTTGCCTCAGTCAGTGAGCGGATAGAAACGCTGGGAGAACGGTCACACAAACCTTCCCTGCTGAGGCCAATTGCACATCTCCTCTCCACACACATATCCTGACATACATTATAATATACACACACACACACGTCATTTTTCAATATAAGAATAGACCCCATAATGTGATCCAGAGGCCTCTATATGTTAATGCAAATGCTCACTCTGGGAAGTCTTACACTGAACTCCTGTTAGTAAAACCAGTAGCCAACAGCAACACGATATCTTGTCAGTCGGGTCTAATACTGTGTTCAAACTTAATGGCTCCCGACAAGCATTTCACCAGTCGACTGAGGGACCAGAGGGAATGTGCCACACTGAGCATGACCACTCAGCAAATTCACATTTAACATTTCATTCCTCCTGCTTGGACAAAATGAATTATCCATCCCTGATTCTGCCACATTGATCCATCCAGACAAAACTCGCTGAACGTTAAATGATCGGCCGGCATCTCTCTCATTCTGACATTCTCCCTCTATCCTTGACCTCTTTCTTCACTCCCTCTGTTATCTGGAATAATCTCAGGGCCTCTTTAGATTCTATTCATCAGAGCAGAAAGAAGCAGGCGCTGACATTGATAAAAAAAAATACCATCTGTGCCTTGCAGGGGTAAAAAGGAGTGAGAGAGAATGAGACGGAAAAGAAAGAGAGGGGCTTCAAATGAAACAGGCTCTGTTGTCTCCCTCTTGTCCCCCCTCGTCAATGCCATTTCAATTGAAAAGCGCAGTGGTAATTAAATTCCAGCAGGGGTTAGGGGCAACTGTGCGGCGCACTGACGGGGGGCCGCCCTGACATAAAGATGACACAATCCAAGAGGCCAGGCGGAAAAGGAGGGAGGGTGACAAATGTTGTGTACACACGTACACTGCCAGATTCATACTACTCAATCTTCATGACATTTAAAAAACAGAAAATGAAATGGATATTCAACTCAACTGAATCCCACGATGACCTTTTCCCCAAATCAGGGATATTCTACACAGATCCTTCTTCTGTATCTGCGGCATTTGCAGAATATTTCGTAATGCCAAGGAGGATGAGCAATTAGGTGGAGGAGAATTTGGGAAAGCTGGTGTGTGTGTGTGTGTGTGTGTGTGTGTGTGTGTGTGTGTGTGTGTGTCAGCACAAATGTGTGACTCACAGAAGGACGCTGGTTGTTGATTCACATTTTCGTGGCACTAATCCAGAGGCTCCAGAGAGGCCACACACTCCTGCTGTCCCCCTCTCCCCACCAGCAAAACAAAACAGCTAGTTGGTCTTTAACTGCAGAAACTAACATGCGTCGCATGTACTATTTTGAAATTTTAAAAGTTACCAAACCCTAAAATTCATATTATTTTTGAGAGATATAAGGTAGTTTGTTTTCAGCATTATTTTGTATTTGCTTTCATGTTAAAAGTAAATCAAAATAAAACAATGTGGATTCAAAGCAGCATACATCTGTATTTATGATAACTCATAAGAAAGTGTTACATTAGATGCAAATAGTTCTTATCACAGAAATGATCATTTCCTGGTCTCACCAACATTGATTATGAAGCAGAGAAATATCAAAGCTCAGATACTTTGATAAACCTCTTTGTAGAAAGACAAAATCTGAATAATAATCATAAAACAATTACATTTATCAAACATTTTCTCCATCTTCATTTTCTGTAAAATAACCACCTTCACTCTAGCGGTTATCTTCCAACATTGCATGTTACAACGCCAAAAGTGAGCAATGAATGATCTGATCCAGTAAGACGCGTTGGCCCCTTTGCGTTTAACATTTCGATGAAGCTATAAATGAATTCTGCCAGCGCTTCACTTATATATATTTATCAATTTATCAGAGTCTCTTACCATAAAATGTTTCTGTTTCATAAAAAGCATTTGTGCAATTCTGATGCCATCTAGTGGACAAAGCACTCAATACATACATACAACATTTTTCATCATTTTCCCACATTTCAAAATGAATATTAGTCATTTGTTAGAGACACAGTTGCCTTGTTGTTAGTTTCAAAAAGGATTAGATTGTTTCATGTCAGGAAAGTTCAGGAAGCTCAGTCCAGCTCCACTCAGTGTGACGTTCCCCTCTTCATTAGTTGAGCATACCTCAGGTCTTGAGGTAAAAGCAACAAGAAGACAAAGTGTCCTCTTGTTCAGTAACGGTTTAAAATCTCCAGAACTTCCTCCTTAACAGAGAGAGGAGAATGCTGCTGGACACCCGGCCCGCCAATACTGGTTTCCCAGCAGTCAAAGCCGCAGTCTTTCAAGTCCTGCACTGTAGTCTGGACAACAGAGGAGTCCGTTTCTACAAAACAAACAAGTCACAATGAAGTCATGTCAAATAAAGTGATGTCAGTGTGGGCTGCAGTTAAACAGAACAATGGATTGCAAGCTAACAAGACAGATGTTTCATGTGCTCAGTGTACAGGACTAAACGAGCTGCAGCGGGGCTTTCAGGGACGAACCTGTCACTCACAGCAAAAGGACAACAAGCCACACAAAACCTCTTGACTCACGTCAATGACCTCACAGATGTAGAAACATGACGACTCTGCATGGTGTGATCCCACACCATGCAACGTCTGGCATTTCCCTTCTGTTTGTTGCGAATGAAATGGTCCAAAGCCCACTTAATACGAAGGCTAAGCACACATCCAGCTCAAACTCAAAGCTTTAGATGCAAGAGCAGCTCTGACGCAATGATAACTTAACTTTGTGCTTTCTTAACTCAAGGTGCTTCAACACCGACTCTCTGAGAACATTAGAGTAGACAGAAACCAGACGATCTATCTGAAAATAGCTGCGACTCACACAGATGGAATTGCTTGCTGAGAAAAACAAATAAATTGCATTTGAAAATATATTTAGAGGAATTTACACGTATACAAATTCAGTCTGCTACAGGCTGCAGGCATCAACAAAGACTCAACTCGCAGGTTGTTTGTTTTGTCAGAGAGAGGATGATAAAGTTTCCTTATATACCCGCACACCAAAGCACCCCTCTTGTGCAGCCTTCTCATCATTTCCTGCCACTCAAATCGTTGTCTCGGAGAGGAAGAGTGAGGGAGCGTTTGAGGAAAACAAAACATTTGTTTTCGGCAGGAGGCTGACAGTCTGGCTCATCACACTGCCCTTATCAAATTCAATCCATTTTAGGACTCGACAAAATTAGATATTAATTTCAAATCAAAGGCTTAGGAACTCTAACAAAATACAAACTAGTTTAGACAACATCATTTATAGAACAACTGCTGTATCGTGCATTAAATGTTTCAAAGTAAAACTGTTAATAAAGTTTATATACGTTATGTCTCTTCCTCTAATACGATTCATTTTTTCATGGCCAGTCAATCACAGAGGAAGGTGGGCCATGTTTTGCCTCCATGTAAAGGTGTTTTACGCTCAGGAATACCAACTTTAAGAGCTATTTTAGTTTGTCCTATATAGGCCTTCACAGAGGAGCAGGTCACCATTGAGACCACATTTGTACAGTTGCAGTTTATAATAGAAACAATAGAAAACGTTAATAGGCGTTTGCCGCTCTTACACTTGTAAGTATTATTGCATTGTCTAGAGTTACCTTTCAGACCTTGCATACAAGAATGGAGGAGGCTGTGTCGTGATCTCCTGAAGCACACAGGATGTGTCCACGTTTCCTGATGATGTTTCTAATTTCGGCAGAGCAGTGTTTGACAAATCATGCCTGCCTGCGGTTCATTTTGTTTCGTGGCGCAAATCTTCTTTTTCATTTATTTTGGCACATTGAAAGATATCATTAATCACCTTTGAAGGGTGCCCTCCAACTCTAATTTGTTCACACTTTAATTTGATTTTGACAAAGTCAGCAGAAGATGAGAAGTTCAGACGTAATCTTAAAAAAAAAAAAAAAAAAACGGCCTGTAAGTATATTGTTCTTTGGTGCATGTTGAAACGTATTACAGTCAGTTGGTTTACGATAAATAGAGGTTTGAATTGTGTTATCATCTCCCTTAAAAATAGTCTCTTTTTTTTTTTTTTTTTTAAAGACACAGACCTCTAACGTTTTTCCAAACATTTCAAAAGCACACTGTTGTGACATACAGAGCCAACAGTACCTGGTCTCAGAAGAGTGATGCCACAGCCTCCTCCCCCTGCGCCGGTTAGCTTGCTATGGAGCCCTTTAGTCAACGTGACCCGGCACAGTGTGTCCAGGGACGGGTGACCCACACCCATCACATTCAGATGGTGCTGGTTGATGTCAATGAGCTCCTGTAAATGATATCACACAGCTGCTGTAGATACATCTCACTATTGGCAGAGAATGAGTCATGTGGATGTGAATATGGGATTTTACATTAACAAAGGAACATGCTATTTTTTATATTTTACTGACGTAACTTCTCAAGGACTCTTTATGATACTTCATACAATCTATTAATATGTTGTACCTCTAGAATATTGTAGTGCTCTCCAGTGATGGGCTCACAGGTCATCTCTGAGAGGACTTTCTCACAAGTGCAGGAAACGGCATCAACTGAGTCAAGCACCGGGTTCACGATGGAGGGAAACTAGAGAGGGGATGAAAACAAAAACAGAAAACCAACATCGCAGCAACTCTGCGCCAAGGCATCGCTGCAGAATAAGTGAAAACAACAAACTCCTTTGTGCATATGTTTGAGAAACAGCTTTTGCACAAACACAGATTGTCAAATGGCAGACTGATCCATGTCTGAGGCAGCAATCTGCACACCTGCTGGTGTCACCAAGGCAACAGCACACAGGGGCGCTGGCTTAGAGTTTAATTTCAATATTTTATGAAGGCACTCAACGACAGGCTCTGGAGTATCTGCCATGCAAAAGCACCACCTATTATATTAATTACAGTGCCGGCAAGTAACACACGGGGGAGGAAGAAACCATTTAGTACCTTGTTAATCTTGTCCTTCACCCCGGCAACAAGTACCTTGGTGCTACGCGGTACTTTGGTGTTAGTGAGGAGGATTCTTAATAACGGCACCCTGCAAAGTAAAGCACACAAATCTGCATTCATGTTACTCAGATAATGTTTGTTTTCTTTTAGGAGTACATCGTGGATGTATTAATTCACTGTGAACTCTTTTTAGATTAAATGAAATTAAAAAATGTTAATCAGTGTCATTACCTGCTCAGTGGAATTATCTTCCCGGCCAAGAATCTCAGCATGCCACCTTCATACGGGGAAATCAAAACAATTAAATAGATAATCATCAAATGATAATGAACAGCGGTGGCTCCATTAAAGAGGGCTCTGAGTCCACGGAGACAACGGGACTTATACCACCATATGTACTGCACCGTGTGCCAGATAATATCGGACCTCACCCCATGTTCCTACAGCGTTGTCTACTCCAGAAGGATTCCCATGGATGATCGTCTCCCCTTGGAAAGCCCAGCTGTTGATCTGCTCCAGGTCCGCCTGACACCACCTGCAATTATTTGTAAATGAAAGGAGAAGGTAGTATCCCAACAGACCCTCACAGACCTAACCTCTAACTGCCTATTCGTATACAAACCAAACACTGGTATAGCTGTTCAATGAATGATTATACAGAAGCTGCTTGTGATTAATGTTTCTCAAACATAATGCAGTCTCACATAAAACACCCACTCTACCCGACTCTTCACCCTCCTCTCCTCTGGCTGCAGATACAGACAGCTACTCCGCCATTACTGCCTTAAACAGCCTGGGCACACTGTGACAGACTTGTTCTTTATACCCTGTTCCTTAGTGTTATTTGTTTTGAGTGTTGAGTGCCTCAATAGAGGATAATAGAATGAAAACACTACAAACTATGGACTTAGAAACTACAATAGAGTTTACACACAACAGCTGTCAGGACTTCCAGCTCTCGTCTATCTCAACAGTTAATACGGTTAATAAGGAGCACTTATGTGGGCAGCTTGGTGTATGTACTTGAAATCAGTTCAAAAACAGAATAAAAGATTTCAGGTCAACAATATATGAAAATTTAAAATGATGGACAGAGAAAGGGCTTCTTCTCTGTAAGTTGTTTTGTGCTGCTTTCTGTGGCATAATGATCCAGTCATTTGGCTACAACACTCGAAAAACTAATCTAGTTAAATAAAAGGCAATTTTAAGAAAAAGATTCATCATAACTGTAACATCATAAGCTTCTCAAAATTGTATTTTTAGCATTGCAGACCACTGTTTTGGATTGCATTATACTGCACGGCATTCATGTTGTAGTGTTGATCTCAAACATGTATCAGTTTATTCTAATTGAGAAGTATAATGTTGTATTTCAAGGTCTTTTCTATTCTCTGTAAACTTAAAAATAATAACTTTTAGTGAAACTGTTTGCACAGAATGAGACATGTGAGAAGATATTCATCATCAGGTCTAAGAAGTCCGTCTATGCTCACAATGGTCTAACTGAATACACAGCTCACAGAAGAGACATTCCCTTAATGTGATGTCGTTACCTGGCAGTGTGATCCCACTCTTTGAGAGGAGCGGGGATGGACCCACTCGCACAGAGCAGAGCTGCACTTAAACACACAGAGTAGGCAGCACTTGAGCCCAGTCCTGCTCCCGTTGGCAGCTCAGACCACACAGTCACCGTCAAGCTGGGCAGCTCACTGAGGAAATAAACACACAAACTGACACAAATGTTTGTATATAAACACTTAAAATGCTGCATCTATGACTTCCTTAATAATGAAGTAAATAAGCATCATTCCCCTTCTTTACTTTACTTATTATTATTATTATATTACATTACTGGTACGGTTACAGCATGCACATACCTATAAGCAGTGTTCAATGTTAAGTAATACAAACACTATTTCATGCAACAGAAACGAGCTCGAACTGCCGTCAATGTTTGTCAGGGAAGCTGCTTTACTCTAAACTAATTGTCCAGCTCTTCTCTCAAGGGAAAAACACATCCAGACTTGTTAAAGGCTGCAGTGTGGCCCAGTGCCAGACTCTCATTAGCGGCCATCCTGTCAGAACCCATCACCTCTTTCAGACGCGGCAGCACCGTGTCAGCACCGATTAAAGCTCTCGACAACCTGCGGCTCCAATGTTCCTGAGCATCGTCCGTGCTCGCAGCTGCTAAACTAACATCCTGCTCTTCTGTCTGTCTTAATTTACTATCTTTATTTCAAGGTGGAGGGAATTTTCCAGATGCAGGGAATAAAGAAATCACACTCAACTCATCTACATAAAGAGTGAATACATTTCCAAAAGGGATTGAATTACGACAAATCAACCAGTTTCGTTTACAGAATTTAGTTGATACAAGAGCTGAACAATTCAGTACCGTTGAGTTTCTTAGTAAGCAGGTGCTGTAGTCTCAATGCAACATGTGTTAATCAAATATTAGCCCAACCATGATACACTGAAGTAAAATTACAGCATGCCATGCTACATGTGATATATGACATAAATCAGCCCAATTTCATTTAATCTGAACTGGCTTGTAGCTCACAAACAAACTCACAAATTCAGATGTGGCAGGTTGAAGTGTTTTGCCATTATAACAATATTTAAACACTTTGCCTGCATCAGCTATGGGCACAGAAAGTAATAGTTGCTGAAATATTAGCAGTTGCATCACCTTCAGGCAATGAGTGTCACAGCTGCTGTATTTTTTTTAATGTGTGATTTTGAGGTTTTACATGTCACACGTGTGCTACCTATTAGCTAAAATAAAAATAATTTATGGAAGTTAGACATCATTATTCTTGGACTTAACCCTCGAACAAGTGAGTCTCAAATCTTGTAAGGACTCCTCTCCCTCTCCTCTCACCAAAACACACAGGAAGACAGTTCTGGAGAGCAGAGGACTCATGATGAAACGAGCAGAGTGCACACTTCCCAGCATTCAGCAGAAAAGGCTCAGCCTGACAAAAATGCAATATTTTACACCTAACAAAAAGAGATGCAGCTGCAACAGTCATTGCCTGCAGGGGGCGATGGTGCTAAATCTGCAGAGCCAGATGTGCGCAGAGACGATTGCTCTCCATTGCCTGTAGATGGAGCACATGGACACGTCTACATCTGCATTTTTAAGTGTTGCTGCTGTAATTTTTCTTGTAAAAGGTGCCCTCGGTTGGCTTGAAATAACTGGTGCTACAGCTCTGCATCAGGATGACATTGCTCTCTGGTTTTCTCTCGTATCAAAAATATCTGTACGGTGTAATGTGATTTTTGAGGCCCTCTAAGCCAACTAGCCATAATAACAAAATGAACAACTGGTAAGAACTGTCTCACCCTGATCCAAACACTGACAGGTAGATGTAGAGGAAGGCTAGGGTGGCCATGTTGCAAGTATCCAAGTTTCCATTGGTGACACCAACAAATTCACGCAGTCTCTTCACAAGTTCAGCATCCAGACGTTTCACCTCCTCCCTCTTACCTGTTAACACAGCAATCATCAGGATCACTAGAATAATGTCACAACAACACACACGTTCATCTGTATGGAAAAGACGAATGTATGATAGCGTATGAGAAATACTGAACAAAGTCAAGAGACAATACGTGGAAGATGGAGTTTATTAAACTAAATAGACATTATTTTAAATCTGTGGTAACTTATATGATGATTAGATGTGATTGGAGTTAAATGGTCATTAATAAAAACTGTTTTGTAGACATTGGAAAAAAAGTCTCAAAACTGAAATGTCACTGTGTGTACTGGACTATGAGAAGCATGATGCCGATCCAACAGTAAAAATCACAGTGTATGCAATGTGCTGCACCATCCCTTACCACAGCAATAAGGAATAAGCTGCTTCAGTTCTGACAGGTCCCACCAGAGGAATGTGTCAATATTTGGGAGGTTGATGCAAACATTGCCAGCAGTGGTGCCTTTCAAACATAAATATGTTCTCAGGTTCAAACTCACAGCAAGAGCCACCTGTAATGGAGCAGAGAACACACTGTGATTAAATGGTCAAACGTTTAGCATATTCAGTGCACATTACTTCAAATAATGTTCCAATGGATAATATAGCTTTTTGTCTATTGAATGTGGCTTTTTTTTTTTACTACTTTCCAGGTTAATAGTGGTTTCCATTTATTTACAGTAGGAAAATAATTTGCAGAGATGTACGTTAAATGAAACTAGTGATGGGAGAGTTGGAAAATCGAATTGAAAACAGAATGAATTAAACGTTTTTTTGTAGGAAACTGGCTGGACGTGCAAAGCTTTGGACCTTCAATGGGTTTCGTATCGCCACCCAGCTTCACTTTTGAATCTCACACTCGGTTGTCATATCAGTGAGCTCTCAAATGCTCTTTCGGGTTACCTTTCCGTGCACAACCGCATGCTCTCCGTGGAGGATCGCCTTCCCTGGAGCAGACACCAATAAATCCTTGACTTGCATTTCTGTAACAGTTTCCAGAGTGCAAAAATGTGTCCAGAACTTGTCAGCTTTCGCGTAAACTTGTCACTGACAGTGTTATTATTAGCTAGCTTAGCCACCTTTAGCAAATGTTAATCCTCTGAAGCAGCAGCAGCAGTTGACAGCTGTGCCCGACGTCTCTGCGTTTGTCATGAAGACTTGACACACACATATAGAGTTTAACAAAGCCGTTTAGGTCAAAGAACATGAACCAGCTCGAGCACAGACTCTCTTCAACGCAGCGTGATGAAAACATGTTAAAAACACGGGAGATACACGAGAGGAGGGGCCAACATGGGTTTGATCTTCATTGTCCAATCGGCGCCACGGCTAGTTGAACACATATTATTTTGTCCAATCAGTGACCAGAACTCTCAAACCACATGGTGAGTGAACCAATCGTACGATAAAAATGAAACGCCCACAAACTACGGATACTACGGAGGGACAAGAGACATTTACAACCATCGTTCACCTTTAGCAGCTATCCTTTAGCTTTGACATGGCTTCGTTCATTATCAAACCTGCTTACCTCCGTTGTGTTGTAAGGACAGGCAGGCTCATCAACGAGCATTGGGCAAGAAACACACTGTATGCAGGCAGAAGGTAGTTATACGTCCCACAAAGGAGGCGTGCAAATTCACTCGTGTTGTAACTGTTTATGTAACCGCTAACGTTAGGCAGCTGCTACACAGGGTACTCTATGAAATAAAGGCAATTATAGATCAGTAGCTAAAGTCATATTGAGCTGGAGTATTGTTTAAGTAACTAAAACGTTAAAATCGTCAAAATTATTGTCATCTAAATCCCTCTCTTGTATCTTCACTCTTTCCCTACAGTTATGCCACTGAAGGAGACAACAGGGCACCTAAAATATACACCAAAACTGGAGACAAAGGTTGTACTTCATCTTAACTAGGAAAACAATACATGTTACAGCACTGTTATCATGCAATGTTCTTACAAAAGGTGACTCAATCCCCGCTGTGTCCCCCAAAAGGTTTCTCAAGCACATTCACAGGAGAAAGGAGGCCAAAAGAAGATCATATTTTTGAAGCCTTAGGAAGTACAGATGAGCTGTCATCAGCTATAGGGTAACAGTTCTACTTTTCACCTGTCAGTTGACTTCAAAACTTGTTTTATTATGTGCCTCACCCGAAGTGACCGTGTTGAATTGGACATTACAGCTTGGCCAGAGAATTCTGCCTCGACAAAGGTCACACATTCACATATCAGCTGGACAAGGTCTGATTTTCATGTTGCATTTACTAATTTGCTTTATTGCAGACATTGTACATGAGCCAGATATAAGATTCATGACAGTATTTTTGCTTCATTCATTGCAGATACAGTGCATTTTACAAGATGTGGGCTCCAATATTGCCACGCCTCGATCGTCTGCAAGAGAAAGTCACATAAGTATGCGCTTGCTGGCTTGTTTAATGCAGTACAATATTGCCTTCTCTTGAAGATCTCATGGGTTTATTTTTTTCTGTTCCGTTTTTGTCAGAGAAAACTACATTTACTGCACAGCCAATTGCAGACCTGGAAAACTGGATTGATAAATTTACAGAAGAACTCCCTCCACTGACCAACTTCATATTACCTGTAAGCCCATTTGTGAGATACAGGTCTAATGATGGCCCAGGTTTTCTTGTTGCACTGATACTTTTGCTATGCGTTTCACAGTCAGGAGGGAAGGGCAGCGCCGCTTTGCACTTGGCTCGGACAGTGTGTCGGAGGGCAGAACGCAGGTCCGTTGCATAAAATGACCCCCATTGTCTTGCTTTTGCGGCTCAGCAGGTTCTGATAGATCTTTGTCCTTGTTCTAGTGTTGCTCCAATTGTAAGAACAGGCGAGGCCGATCCGGATGTTGCCAAGTTTCTGAACAGGTCAGTCCAGTGCTTTAAAAATTAATATGACAACATGGGTTTCTCTGTTGCACATTCGATAATTGTCCCAACATTTTTACTCAGATTAAGCGACTACTTGTTCACCGCGGCCAGATATGCAGCAATGAAAGACGGCAACGAGGAGACAATCTACAAAAGACCCGAATGACCAGATCCCACTTGAAGAATAATTTTTGGGGATGCTTGGTGTTGCAGAGATTTAACTGTTATTGTAAATATATCAATAAAAACATGTGGTGCAAAATTGTTCTTATTTTGATGCAACTTTCTTCTTAGCATGTGACAATAAAGGCAGTAATAAACTTCACTGTGGCAAAATCTTAAACCATTCAGTCAATACATGTACATCTTTGTTTTGCATTCATCAAACAGGCACACTTTGAGTTGGTTGTACTGCAGCTGAGATCTTCAAATACTGCAGAACATCTCTTGGTCTTGTTGGGTTTTAATTGTCATCACCCAGGGATTGAACAACCACTATTTATATTGCTCTCCCTCTGATAGATATGGCTGCAGCCCACTAGGTTTTGTTCTCATGTATTTTTAATAAATTTGCCCGTCAGGACTTCAGGGACACTCGGCTTTCCTCCAACATGGCTCTGTTATCACCCTCCCACGCCGTCACAGGATCTGGCACCAGCCCTGGCTCTTCTGGGACAGGGTACTGGCCCATGTCATTAGAGACAGATTGCGGTCCTCATAGGGTGGATAACGCAGATAGGTTACACACTCAAACCGCGTGCCTCTTAGCAGGCATGACTTCCTGTGAGAGAAGGTATCAAAGCTGTTGCGGCCATGGTAGGAACCCATTCCACTGGAACCTTTTCAAAAAGTGTTGGGAGAGTTGATATATCATGAGTAGTATTTTTCCACAACTATTTTTTGCATAATTTGTACTCTGCTGCCACCTACTTACCAACTCCACCGAATGGCAGAGCCACCATCAGACTCTGCAGGATGCTGTCATTGGAGCAGAAGCTTCCACTAGAGGTCTCACTCATTAGCCTTGAGATGACCTGCATTGTCAGAAAGGGCAACTCTTGATCAGAAAACACATCGGCTGCATTAATACAGCGTCTTAACTTGAGTCTGTCATGTACCTTGCTGTTGCTGGAATATGCATACACACAGAGGGCTTTCTCCTGCTTATTAATTAAGGCAATTGCTTCCTCCATATTGTTTACAGTCAGAACAGGAAGAACTGGGCCAAAAATGTCCTGTTGCATGATGGAATCTGATTCTGTCACCCCCGTCAAAATCGTTGGGGCTTCAGACAGAAAAAAAGAAGTTAACATCAGTATTAAATGTAATGCATCAGACACTGTTTGCTATATTTTTATGCATACCGATATATTTCTCTGCTTCTATCACTTGGCCACCCACAGCCACCTTGCCAGATCTCCACAGCATGTCTCTTGTACGGTTGAAGATCTCTAGATTGACCATGCGGCCATAACTGCGGGACTCTCTGGGATCAGAGCCGTAGAACTGCATCAAGCAGCACTTCAGGGCCTGTACCAGCCGTGGTTGGACATCCGTGTGGCACAGGATGTAGCCAGGAGCCACCAAGCTCTGTCCAGCGTTGTGAAAACATGCCCAAGCGATGCGTTGTGCGGTGATGGAAATGTCACAGTGTTGGTCCACATAACACGGGTTCTTGCCACCTAAAATCAGGGTGGCGGGTGTGATTGTACTCGCTGCAGCCCGAGCAATTCTGCTTCCCTCCTCCCTGCTGCCTAGGGATTGACAGACATCCTTAATGTATAATTCAATGTATGATCACAAAATGATTTTATAGCTAAATTTAGCTTTACCTGTAAAAAAGACATGGTCGAATTTAAGTTCCACAACTTCAGGCAAGTCAATCGTGCCAGCCAGAATCCCATGGAAACATTCCTTGAAGAAAACAAGAATTTTAGATCAGATTACATTTTTATTGTTGCATTGTAGCTCCTTCCTGCTAATCAATACACACAGTGGGCCTACATCTTCAAAATCAAAGTTTGAGAGTCAACTTGGATGTCTCTCTCTCTCTCTCTACACTCCCAGATTTGACCACATCTTACTTCTTTAAAGTCTTGTGTCACATTAAAACCGCTCACTTGAGTCAGTGAACGAATGCCTTCTTTAAAAGCACACAGACCAACTTCCTACTTCTCAAAGTGGATCCATACAAATGAGTCATTCGGCTCAAATGAGTGGGATATACTTGGCATTTACTCAACTGCTCAATATTTGAGCTAAAAGACCCACAAAAAAGATCCGCTGTAACTTGCAAATTCAAAACTTTTCCATCCTCCCGCCATGTAATTACTCACATTGTCCAAGTAGAAGGGGATGAGACGATGAAGAAGCTCTGCTGTGTGAGCGGTGCACTCACAGGGGCTGATGATTGCACAGTTTCCTGCACAAATTTATAAAAAATAATCAGTAAGCCATGTGTATAAGGACAAATAATACTAGAATTAAACTGATTAAATGAGTGTCTTGAGTCTCTGCACCTGCTGCGATGGCCCCTACCAGCGGCACCAGACACGTTTGGACTGGACTGCACCAGGTCCCCATGATAAACACCACCCCCAGCGGCTCACTCAATATAAGACACTCATCCAACGTGGTGGACTACATCAATCAGACAAGCGCAAAATGAAGTTACAAGTGAAAGAGAACTCTCAGAGTGAAGGTTTACCAGTGCACAGATGACTAACAGAAAGACATCAGCCCACTGCGGTAAGGCAACTGAAGTTTTAATCTGCTTTGGCGTATGCCGGCATAATGCTTTCTTTTTGGCAGCGAGACAGAATGTTCTCTCCAAAAAGATTGTGAAAATCATGAATAATCTCAATAATATTATGAAGACGTTATTGGAAAAAAAGCAGCAACAAACTCACCAGGTTCTTTTCCACGTGCTGCGGCTGCATCCACTTCTTCAGGTTGTTGATGGCATGAAGTGCTTCATTCTTGACCAGAATCAATTCTGACACAACTGTCTCAAACATTGGCTGGTTAAAAAAAAAAAAAAAATCAATTACTAATTGGACGATTATGTCAATTGTCTCCTGTTTTTTATAAGCACGACGACGCCAGCTGAGTGCTTCACCCCTCACCTTATGGAGGTCCCTTCCAAGAGCATCCACAAAGTCACACTCGTGTTCCTCAAGCATCCGCACCACAGCCTCCAGCTGAGCCAGTCTGAAGACCTCTGTGATGGTCCGTCCTGCTCGAAAGGCGACTCTCGCCCTCCTCAGCACATCCACACACTCAAGAGGGTACGTCTTCAGACAGGGCTCCCCCAGCCTGGTCCTGAGAAGCAGTCAACTAGTTTTTAAACACCACAGGGCAATTAAACACATCCTCAATCCATAGTTTATCACCATACCTTCTGCATGTTAACCGGCCATTCCTCTGACAAGCATAGCACGCCCTTTTTTTATCACTCATGTTTTTTCCAGTCAAGAATTCTCCACTGCTGGACCTTTTCTGAATGGAGTTAGTGTGCAATTAAGCCAATGCACCAGTTAAGTAAAAGCCCCACTGGTATTGTGAAAATCCTACTAACAAGTCCAGCCAATCAGGTGATGCACTGATAATCTTGAACCCAGCCACTCCAAGGCATCATGTGGGCCTAGAGGTAGGCCTTTCTAACCCACTGATGGAATCTACACTCATGACCAAGTGAAAACACCGTGAATGTAAACTGGGTATGTAACGTTACCTTCGCATCGCTTTGAACCATCGGGACGGAGAAGGGCTCAGCGGACTGTTCATGGCTGTTCTCCAGGTTCGGCTGGAGAGTTGTGCAAGAGCTCCCAACAGCACCGCTCACCTTTCACGAACGGTCACGCAGCGCAGGGACCGAGCACAATGGAGAGTGCGAGTCACACGCGCGCACTCACGACATAATGCGCGGTACTAGGACACCAGAAAATGTGGTGTTAGATGCATTCTCAATCCCACAGCCGCCTGTTAATGTTTCAAACGGGGTCTGCTGTCAATCACCAGACTGTCAACAATGCACTTCAGTCATGCGCAGAAGATCCATTCCACAGTGGGGTTCCAGACCCCGCAGGTGTTTGTAATAAACTATAATTTATAGTGCTGGGCAAGTTAACACGTTAATTTCGCGTTAACGCATTCATTAATTAACGCCGACAATTATTTTATCGCGCGTTAAAGCATTTTTTTAATTTATTATAATTATTATTTATTTTTATTTTATTTATTTTTTATTTTTTAATTGAAAGACAAGAGACAATACATATACATAACAAGAGGACGACAAGAACAGTGGGATAAAGGCCAGCAAACATCCTACAGTCAGTAATTTTAGTGCACCTATATGCTGAAATTCACGGTAAACGCATTTAAACGGCACAGATCGAGAGCGAGCGAAGGACTTTGAAAGTTAGCGGAAAGATTAACGTGAGACAACATCCGGTTTCTTCAGACGAACATCCGGTTTTCAGAATAAGATGCCAACAAAGTATGAATTATATTCACATTAAGTATAAAACATGCTACCTGCATCTCGTGAACCAAATGTTATTGCCCTTTTGTTCATATAGCAGTACTTTTAAAATAACAGTGCGCAATACACTACTTTTGAATTCATTATGGAACTTTTCCATAACAATGCGATTAATCGCAAAAAATCCATGCGATTAATCGCGATTAAATATTTTAATCATTGCCCAGCATTAATAATTTAATGATACGCGTGTTAAATCAATACGCTGTATGTCTCACTGTGTGGAAGTGACTGTATGTGTAAGGAAACACCAGGCTTAATTTAAACCTTGCTTTCCTAACTCTGTAAACATAATGCAACAAATACATCGATATAAATGTACTGAATTATTATTTATTATTAAAATAATAAATCGTACACCAGGGGGAAAAATGGTTAAAAAAAACAATCTTTAAAATTAACAGAAATTGCAATCCAAGTGTGAACATTGAAATGGAGCAACACACTTGTCAAAACTTACAAGGAATTAAAATTCCAGTATATGATGGAAATATAAACATAGAATTGAACTTAACAGATCGGCCCCATTGTCACCGACACCTGATCCAGTTATTTGAGTCGGTATCAGCCCGATATCCAATACGGAGCATCCCTAAAAACACTGTCAGCCAGTGCCGAAGTGGGAAAAAACACACGATTCAAAGCAAATGATTTATATAATACTGGTATATATGATTTAACATTACATAGACAAAAAGTATCTTACACATGGACACATCTTACATGTGAATCTCTTTTTTTGACAACACACTCCATACTGTAGTGTAGCCAGTCTCAAAGACACTTGAAGAAAAGATAAAAACTTTCACAGGAAGAGTGGGAACATTTTCAGGGTCATTTTTTATTAGTTTTTGTACTAAAAGAGCGGATAGTCAACGGTCAGCATCAGCAGTCCACCGGTACACTTAAAGTCTAGCCTACTCTTGACATCATTTTAAAATCAGATGAGTGACCTCATCACGAGACAGACAAGCTTTTGAGGTAACTTTCATCTCTCTTGCACACGGACACACATTCAAGTGTAGCACGCCGTTTAAATCCATTCACAGTGTTTCCACTTCTTGCTGGAATAAATGAGGAGGAGCAGCGCTGGAGCAAGATCCTCCTGACTGATTTGTCTGATCAGAAATTAGTTTGATCTCATTAGTATTCTGCAGGTAAATTCAATACGACCAGTGTTACGTATCATTATAATCACTTTAATTACACAAGTTAATTGCCATGAGATTACTAGTTCGAATCATGGCATTAATGACCAGATTGCTCTATAGCTTGTGTTACTTATTAAGAAGTATCCATACTCATTCATGACAGAAAACATTTTTTTGCATAATAAAGAACTTGTTAAAGATTTGATATTTACTTTTTAACCCTTTCTTTGGAAGTTGCAGTCCTCTTTCTGGTAAATGACTCACTTCCTTGACTATATGATCTAATTGAACCATGTGTTGAGTAATATTTAGGCTGATAAGGGAACATTCCCTCTTGTGTCCCTTTCCGCAACATTTCTACCCAAGGGAACATAAAATCAAGCAAGAAAACAGTCCATGACATCATGTTGAGAGGTTTTTAAACCCCAAATTCGTTTTTCCACATGGCTCAAAAAGTCCAGAGATCGGAGGGCATCGTATTAAACCCTCCTCGGTTGATGTTGTTGTTGTTGTTGTTGTTGCAATGGTAGTGGTTGGGTTTCTGCGCTTTTTTTGTTAGTAGAAGTAGAGAATAAGTCCAGGTACATAGCCCCCGTTGCTATGGCTTGTTTCCGATATACGTGGTTATTGGTTACAGTCAAACATGTGAGAGCAAAGGGGGGGGGGGGCAATATGAGGCACTCAGCGTTATTCAAAGGTGTTGTGAGAAATCTTCAGTTTTACTAGTAAATATGAAGACTAACATCATTGATTAACTTTACTTTTCATTTTTTGGAGTGACAAGGTCGAGCACAGATGTGTGACGATGAACTGCTGTGTCTGATTTACTGGGCGGGTACAATTTAGTGCCCAAACATATTTAGTTCCTTTTTTACTAAAAAGTAAAAAAAAAAAAAAAAAAAAGCTACAGCAAAGACATCTTTTCTAAATCAAACAAAAGCAGGAAGATTTTATTTGTATTCTCAAGAGTCACTGCTGCGTCACCAGAACTGAGGCAGATTTTCAAATGAGAACATAAAAACCAGCGTCTCCCTCAGGTGACTGCAGCGTCTCTTAGTGGGGAGAAAGGGAGCGAGGTCAAAATGATTTTCCTCGAAATGGGACATAATGCAATCAACACTGCTGTGAGCCGCTCCTCCTTCATGGAGGTTGAACGCAAGACATTGATTTGTCTTCCATTTATAAAAGATGCATTATGCTCAGCAGAACATTTTAAGACTCATCCAATATCAGCTAAAAGTTGCTTGGATAATGGGGTCCAAGCTTGTAAGTATATTAACAACCCATCGCTTGGTTTCACTCGAGTGAGTCCACCACGTGTATAATGGTTTGCATTGCATCTGTATTGCTTTCCAGTTCGCTTAAAATGGGAGTGTTAGATAGCGTGATTCTGTTAAGCCTGAGAATGAGAGTTCTAGCCACTGTATATCCGTATTTCATCAAGTTAAATACACAACGTATTGAATTTTGGGAGTGGCAAAAGGGAGATGCTAAAAATTGGATTGTGCTGCAGAAACAGCATCCCCTTCGATGTAAGGGAGTGGGCTGACGTAGAGCAGAGCTCGTCCAGTTTTAAAAAGACACCAAAAGGAGAGTCCTTGTAGGTCCTTTATTGTTCCCCCTTTGTTTCGGCGATCCCCCTTCGACTTGACAGGCTCCAGTCCAGGTATGTCGAGCCTCTTGCTCGGCTCAGGCTGCTGAACACAAGCCTCCTGCGAAGATTGTCCTGATGCAACTGAGTTAGGAGAGCTCAAAGCCTGTGTTCATACTGATAGCGTAGCGCAGCTTGTCACGCAAGATGCTCTTCTTGCTGTAATTGGGCAACTTGAGCAGGTTAAAGCATGTTGATGAAGTGGGAAGTCGACCACCAGGCTCCTTCTTGCGGATTGTGAAAAAGCCCCTAAGAACACTGCCAAGGGTGTCTCCGGTGTCCTAGACACAGGAAAGGCTCAGTTAGTACAAACGGAACACATGGATGCCTCACAGCTTTTAAGCCTCATCCATTTGCTCCTTTCCTATTCCTACCTGATCATCCGAAACTTCCACACAACGGATGGAGAAAGGTGGTTTGAGGTAGGCAAAACCTAGCAGAGGCGGCCTGGAGCAGCTGGTAACAAACTGTAAAACACACAGGAATAAATGAGACAATAGTAAAGCACTTGTGGGTAGAAATGAACAGCTTTGGGCTGTGACATTTACAATTCAATTCAATATAATTTGTATTGCCCAAAATTACGAATCTGCCAAATTTGTAAAACACCTTACTTTAAGGAACATAGCCCTCTCGTCAGAGGTGAAGTCACTGGACAGGATGTCCCACAGCCAGATGATGACACGATGGCTGCTGTGAAAACCTCCATAGTAGACCGTATGCTTCCTGAGAAAGAGCAGCGAAGACAACAATGGTGAGCATCTCTGTGCACAGGAAGCAGAGATGAAGGACAAAGTCCAATCACCTCTAACAAAGTGTTTGGATTGAGGAAACTTCTGAATTAACAGAAAAGTTCTGCTAAATGTTGGGACACATTTACTGAGGAGACTGTTGTAGTGGCACAGCAAGTAAAGAAGAAGAATTCAGTCTGCTCATTAAAGATGTCTGAAATGTCACCTACTTGAGGTCATCGAGATCAATCTCTGCATTGTCTCCCGAGACGAGACGCTGAACCTCAGGCGTGGAAAACATGTGCAGCCACTCTGGGTTAATAATGCTGCGGAAGCCCCGGATGAAAGCTGCAGTTTGCTCCTTAATCTGCGTGTGCATCCGGAAGTGAGCCATGAGGTGGATGTAGCTGATCCTGCAGGAAATGGAAGAGTTTAGGTCAGCGTTAGACAGTATAGAGTACACAACAATCAGAAACATTTTAGATTTTAAAAAGAGTCAGTTATATTTTAGAATGGATATGAATTGACATACTTGTTTTCGTTGGTGACTTGCATGGTTTTCCCCCCCGGTATCAACTCATGACAGACGAGCTGTAAGGGAACATACAAAGTAGCTTATGAATGTCATGTATTTAACTACCCTGTATCATGTCTTCCACACTGTCTGATCTTACCTGGCCCATAACATCCTCATCATAGGATAACGACAGTCCTAGATCCCCTACATCTCCATCGTAGCGCTGGAAAAAAAAACAGATAAACATGAAGGATGTGAGATAGAGATTTAAATGGGATAAATTAGTGACAAACAATTTGTCCAAGTGTAATTCTAGCCGACCTTGATGGAAGTGAGGTTCTTGTAGAACTCAGAGTCCAGCGAGGGCAGCTCGTCGATGGAGCTGTAGAAAGTGCTGTGGTGGTGACCCA